ATTCAGCCATATCGCAATTCTGGTCTTTCCGTCCCCAAATTTAAGACCTCTTGAAATCATAATTAAGACTTTCTTGTACAATTTAAGACTTTTTAAGGCCTTAAATTTGATACAACTAAATTTAAGACTTTTTTAAGACCCGCGGAAACCGGGTATATATATTATAAAATATATAATATAATTAATTATGAGATTTTTATCTACTTATGAACCCCAGATTATGTAACCCAAATATGAGCAATAGTAACAGAGTAACCTTTTAGCACCACTATTTTCTATTTATTTCCAATTCTGAATAAAATATATATTTAAAATGAATATTTCTCTCAGTTACATTTTCATGCTGCATGTCATTTTTCACTGATTCTTCTGGCACAATGCAGCAGCATCATTTTGCAAATAATAGTCCAACACAATCTTGGCATTGACAGAACACCTATCGATAACCGGTATCCAGCTCACAAGGTTTCTGCAGATAATGTATTAGATCTGAATTTTATGAGCAGATTCAACACTCCCAGAAGAGCAGAAGAGAGAAAGTGAGAGAGATATAGCCACCTGTTTCTCCCCACGCACATTGCCAAAAGTGTGGCGAAGCCCATTCTGAATGGCAGAAGAGATTCCCTCCATGCTGAAGCGCTACAAGCACAGAACAGATGAAAGAAGAGAAAGAGAGAGTGGGACAGAAAGAACAGAATGAAAGAGAAATCACATCACATCAGCCAGAGCTAATCGAGGAAGAAGAAAGAGCTCGTCAAAAGCCTGGGAACGACGTACATCTCGCAAGTGTTTCCAGACCAGTGGCCACTTGTGATTGGATTTTGCCAAAGTGGGTTTTGGGTTGTGATGGCCATTGACATATCATCACTGACCAACACACACACACACACACACAGCTCATCAGATATGGTAAACTAAAGCTCAAACATGCAGGAGAACCAATACGGTTTTTGTTCCTACACGTCAAGCAAGCGCAGCTGAGCCTGTTTACCATTTTTGATGAGCTCTATGAATACGTGTTTATCAAAGTTGATGTGAACAAAAGCCTAAATTAAATCTGTTCATCATATGTGAAGTGATCATGTCTGTTCAGAAGACTGCTTCATATCTTAAATTTACGATGTCTTGACGATGAAGCTTGACAATTTTGCTAGCGTGGACTTTAATGAGTGGATGAGAAATTAACAGAAAATATTAAAAGTGTCTTGTGTGTCCTCTAGATGAATTGAAGTCTTATAGGTTTGAAGTATCCCTTTAAAGTCTGCATGAAACAAGATACGACGACTTTACTACCATAGTGTGACGTATTTCCAAGTGGAAGGGCTTTTTGAACAAGACAAAAACATTGTGGGACTTGATTTTTTCAGTTGGATGTTGATTAAGAATTGCAAAAATTTTTTATTACAAGATTTTTGAAATAATAGGTTTAAATATGCAAATCAGGCACTATATAATTAAATACGCACTAATGTGCATACATTTCCAGAACAGAAATCTGAACACTTGATAAAGTTCAAAATTCCTCTTTCATTTTGATGACATATTAGAGTTAAATGTTTTTTTATAGCGCGGATTTGGGGGGGGGAATATATATAAAAATTGATAAATCAAAAAAAACTGTCACCATCCAGAAAAAAATCACCATGTTTTAAGGAATCGAATGTTGTATAAAATCAGGTAAATAATACATGAACAAACCCCTCTATAAAAAAACCTTCAGAATATAGATATAGGAATAAAACTAAAAATTGGTGTTAAGTGCTGCTGAAGCGGAGAAAAATCTCATTTTGAGAAAACGGCCTTTAAAGATATGCATCGTAATTGAAAGAATTGCAATTAACACTTAACATGATAATTTGCCCAAAAATTTAAATTCTGTCATCATTTACTGAAAAAAAATACTACTACTATGACTTAATACTACGTCAATGGGGACCAGAAACTGTTTGGTAACCAACATTCTACAAAATCTTTAATGTTCAACATATAAGAAAGACATTTATATAGGTTTGGAACAACTTGACGGTGAGTAAATGATGACAGAATAAAAAATTTGGGGAGAATTATCCCTTTAAATGTGTATTTTGAATGTTTTCTTTCCACTAGTCTGAAACAACACATGAAAGCCAAACAGCCTAAAATCTCAAAATTAGCCAGTGCATGAAAAAATCTTTTTGCCTGTAGTGTCGTGACTTAAAGGTAGGGTTGGGTATCGTTTGAATTTTATCGATTCCGATTCTGCTTATCGATTCCGATTCTTATCGATTCCTAGTTTAGATTCCAATAAGATAAAAAATCCAATATAAAAAAAATTAAGTCAAACATTTATTCTGTCTTTTTACAAAGCATTCTGTTGCAGCTGAATAACACGAGCAAAAATCAGCAGCCTACAGAACACTGCAAGAGGAATTTTGCCTATGCTTTAAAAAAAAATACCACAGCAAAACAACTAGATTAATATAAATTTCAAATATTAAAGTGTTAAAGACAAGTAAACAGTCAGTAATAAGATAGGAACAAACAAATCAATAAGCAATATCATAAATAAATACAACTGAACAAAATTTCAGGTACAGAAACTGTAATTAAAAGTTTAAAAACACTGCATAGTTTTCTTTTCATAAATAAAATATAGATTAATCAATTAAAGTTATTAAATATATTCAGTCAAGATCAGTGAATGATTTTATTTTGTTCTTTGATTAAAGGGGTCATATGATGTTGCTAAAAAAACATTATTTTGTGTATTTGGTGTAATGAAATGTGTTTATGCGGTTTAAGGTTAAAAAAA